TCCTCCTCCTCCTCCTCCTCCTCCTCCTCCTCCTCCTCCTCCTCCTCTTCTTCTTCTTCTTCTTCTTCTTCTTCTTCTTCTTCTTCTTCTTCTTCTTCATTTTGTGCCAAACTGCACACTTCTCATTACTTTCTGTTTTACTTGCCCTCTTTCACTGTTAACCGAAGCCACCCATGAGCAATAACCCTAACATGACAGTTTCTAGTCTTGAGATTTCCTTGCTGAACAAGTAGCCCCTTATTTGCGAATTCAAACTTACTCAAAATTTTAGGACATGAGCAGTATGTGGCCAAGATTCTTCAAAATATAATAACCTCTAGCTTAGCTCTCTGCAGAGCAGTTCTGCACCCGCATGAGTGGGCCTCCACTATCTACTCTTTTTGGCACTGTGCTCTTCCAAATTACCCTCAGAATGATCCATTAAGCTTTTCTTACAGCATTTTAGAGATTTTAAGCTTTATGTTCAAATTTTAGGACACATTATGAATCTGTCATGAAGCTTGAGACAGCTGATCACATGGAGTCTATAGTCAACAAGCAGAGATGGATGCTAATGCTCTGCTCACCCTTTTCTATTTAGTTTAATTTCCCACTGGGCTGCCAATGTTCTGTGGTTGAGCATTTCTGGAAACTCCATCATGGACATACACACCGAGATATAGTTCATGGTCCAGTCAAGTTGACAATGGAAAGTAAGCATTATACCTGGTCAGCTTTCAGACCTCACATCATAGAAGTAATATGGGACATAACTTCATAGCATGCCCTCCTGCTGTATATTTATACTTAAATACCACTTATTATCAGTAATAATTCTAATTATTTTAAGTACCTCTGCTCCTTGTGTGACAGGCTTTCTGATTATTTATATAAGAGAATCTTTACTGTTTGGGGGGGATCACAGTCCAGATTCAAATGTGCCACCTAACAACATCAATTCATGCCAGTGCTTGAAGCAATTTGGGATTAATTCTCTAAGCTCACCACTGGCATTACTTGAAAAGCCTGGTTCCTAGATTAAAGGAAAGACCTTAGAGAGAGTTTGTAATATCTTTATTTCCCCTTACCTCAGTTTAACTCAATGATTCACAGAGCAAGTTCTTATAAGGGTTGTAAATAGAAGTGCAAAAATTATAAATCATGTATCAGCAAGGATATTATAGAAGAAATGTCACTGCACAGAACCAGAGAAGAGGTTTGGTTGTGGTTCACAGGGAAGTAAAGGAGTATTCTCTCTATTCCTAACTGGCTCTGACTCAGTAAGACAAATTTGGTTATTCTTGGCTTCCAGCTTATCATCCTCAAAATGATAGAGTGAATTCCTTGAGGTTCCTATAAAAGACTTCAGGTGTGTTGATGAAAGGGACACTAAGAGGAATTTCCTTTGAGATGAAAGTCTTGTTATGAGAATTGTTAACCTCATGAACCATACAGACAGACAGAAACATGAAAGGGCTCTGCTGAGACTTCAAGCAACATGGTAAAATGTGGGAAGTCCATTCTTATAGGTCTCAGAGGAATTAGGTGGTTTCATGAACTCAGGCTGTCTCTGATTCCTATATAGCAGCAGGAAGAGGAGGAGGAAGAGGAAATGAAGGAAGAGGAGGAGGAGGAGGAAGAAGAGGAGGAGAAAGAGGAGGAGGAAGAGGAGGTGGAAGAGGAGGAACCCCAGGGTTGGAATATACAACTCCAGTGATATGTGTGGGGCACATTTATTGAGGTTAACACACTACACAGGTGTGTGATGTGTTGCCATTTGTGGCTTTCTGATCTCCTTGGGACTGGTAGCCTGGGCCTCTAAATTTTCTTAAAGAAGGAAGACTGGAGTCTTTCTTCCTCCTAAAATTTGAGAATTTCAGCAACTCTATTATTCTGTGGGTTTAGAGATAAAATCATTTAAGTTCTTAGTGGGAGCTTGTTTCCTTTACAGAAGAAAAAGTCTGCACCTGGGAGGTAGCGCATGTGCTGAGGAGTAGGCTTGTTTGAATTTTCTTAATAACATACACTTATCTACGCATCCATCTTATCTTGCACAAAATGACAGTAAATTCACTCAAAGCTGGAATCCAGCTCTTAAGCTATGTAAACTTACAAACACAAAAACAATACCAATTATTCTTCTAAAGCTCCCCCTGACTCCCAAAGGCAAACATAGGAGAATCCATGTGTGAATGATGCTTCTCTGAGCCGCACCTGGAGTGGATATTCTCATGTGTTGGACACAATGTGCAGTCATCTCCTGAATTCTGTTACAGGTGTGGACAAAGCCAATGAGATGCCAGCTCCAAGGATATTAAGGACCCATCTTCCCACTCAGCTACTGCCACCATCTTTCTGGACAAACAACTGTAAGGTAAAATAGCAGCATTTCCCATGGGGACTGGTTCAGGAAGCCCAGAGATCCAGACCTCCAAAGCCTGGATGAGAATACCTTCCTCAGCACTATCTATCCTCTACCTGTGAGACCTAATCCTCTGGAGTAAAGTCAAACACCAGACTAGACTTAGTAGTCTTGAATGCTTTCAAATATGATGTGAAGGCAGAGGTCAGACTGAGGTGTTGGAGATCATGTGTTCTTCAGTGAAGCTGACTGGGAGTGGGGAGCAGGAACCATAGGCTGAAGGTTATAGGAAGACTTATGGAGTAGGGCACAAATGAGACTGAACAGATCAAGTGCAAAGGACTGGTGTTCAAAGGGTAAATCTAATGGAGTGACAGAGGAGGCTTGGCTGCAGCTTCAGCAGCCTCTAGGCTTGTTTCATTTTTTTTCTAGGACTATGTTTTGTACCCTAGTGTCTTGTTTAGTATGTTCCTGAGACACTGAGGATGTTGGACTATGGTAGAAGTGTACAAGGGTAGAGTAAGGCTGCAGTGGATGGAGGCAAGATCCCAGGATGAGGCACTGTCCTATTGACAGTGTCCTTTGCCTTACAGAAGCTTTGCAATTTTATGAGGTCCCATTTGTCAATTCTTGATCTTAGAGCATAAGCCACTGGTGTTCTGTTGAGGAACTTTTCCACTGTGCCCAGGTATTTGAGGGTCTTCCCCACTTTCTCTTCTATTAGTTTCAGTGTATCTGGTTTTATGTGAAGGTCTTTTATCCACTTGGACTTGAGCTTTGTACAAGGAGATAAGAATGGATCAATTTGCATTCTTCTACATGTTGTCCTCCAGTTGAATCAGCACCATTAGTTGAAAATGCTGTCCTCTTTCCACTGGATATTTTTAGCTCCTTTGTCAAAGATCAAGGAACCATAGGTGTGTGGGTTCATTTCTGGGTCTTCAACTTTAGTCCATTGATATTCCTGCCTGTCTCTGTACCAATACCATGAAGTTTTTTAAATCCCTATTGCCCTGTAGTACAGCTTGAGGTCAGGGATGGTGATTCCCCCAGAAGTTCTTTTATTGTTGAGAATAGTTCTCCCTATCCTGTATTTTTTTTTTGTTATTCCAAATGAATTTGCAAATTGCTTTCTCTATCCCTATGAAGAATTGAGTGGGAATTTTGATGGGGATTGCATTGAATCTGTAGGTTGCTTTTGGCAAGATGGCCATTTTTACTATATTAATCCTGCCAATCCATGAGCATGGGAGATCTTTCCATCTTCTGAGATCTTCTTCAGTTTCTTTCTTCAGAGACCTGACATTCTTGTCATACAGATCTTTCACTTGCTTGGTTAGATTCACACCAAGGTATTTTATATTATTTGTGACTATTGTGAAGAACGTCATTTCCCTAATTTCTCTCTCAGCCTGTTTCTCTTTCACATAGAGGCAGGCTACTGATTTGTTTGAGTTGATTTTATATCCAGCCACTTTGCTGAATTTTTTTTTCCTTTTAAAAACCTCGTTTAGGAGTTCTCTGGTGGAAGTTTTGGGGTCACTTAAGTATACTATCATATCATCTGCAAATAGTGAAAATTTGACTTCATCCTTTCCTATTTGTATCCTTTTGACTTCTTTTTGTTGTCTAATTGCTCTGGCTAGGATTTGCAGTACTATATTGAATAGGTATGGAGAGAGTGGGCAGCCTTGTCGAATCCCTGATCTTAGTGTGATTGCTTCAAGTTTCTCTCCATTTAGTTTGATGTTAGCTACTGGCTTGCAGTATATTGCTTTTACTACATTTAGGTGGACCTTGAATTCCTGATCTTTCTAAGACTTTTTCCATGAAGGGATGTTGAATTTTGTCAAATGCCTTCTCAGCATCTAGTGAGATGATCATGTGGTTTTTTTTCTTTGAGTTTGTTTATATAGTGGATTACATTGATGGATTTCCAAATACTGAACTATCCCTGCATTCCTGGGATAAAGCCTACTTGATCATGATGGATGATTGTTTTGATGTGTTCTTGGACTTGGTTTGCTAGAATTTTTTGCGTCGATACTCATAAGGGAGACTGGTCTGAAGTTTTCCTTCTTTGTTGTGTCTTTGTGTGGTTTAGGTGTGAGCATAATTGTGACTTCATAGAAGGAAATGGGTAGTGTTCCTTCTGTTTCTATTTTGTGGAATAGTTTGAAGAGAATTGGTATTAGGTCTTCTTTGAAGATCTGATAGAATTCTGCACTAAAACCATCTGGTCCTGGGCTTTTTTGGTAGGGAGACTTTTAATGACTGCTGCTATTTCTTTAGGTGTTATAGGACTGTTTAGATGGTTCATCTGCTCCTGATTTAACTTTGGTACCTGGTATCTGTCTAGAAAATTATCTGTTTCATCCAGATTTTCCAGTTTTGTTGATATAGGCTTTTGTAGTAAGATCTGATGATTTTTTGAATTCCCTCAATTTCTGTTGTTATATCTCCCCTTTCAGTTCTGATTTTATTAGTTTGGATACTGTCTCTATGTCCTCTTGTTAGTCTGGCTAAGGGTTTATCTATCTTGTTGATTTTCTCAAAGAACCAGCTCCTGGTTTTATTGATTCTTTGGATAGTTCTTTTTGTTTCTACTTGGTTGATTTCAGCCCTGAGTTTGATTATTTTCTGCCTTCTACTCCTCTTGGGTGTATTTCCTTCTTTTTGTTGTAGAGCTTTCAGGTATGCTGTCAAGTTGTTAGTGTATGCTCTCTCCAGTTTCATTTCGGAGGCACTTAGAGCTATGAGTTTTCTTCTTAGCACTGCTTTCATTGTGTCCCACAAATTTTGGTATGATGCATCCTCATTTTCATTAAATTCTAAAAAGTTTTAAATTTCTTTCTTTATTTCTTCCTTGATCAAGTCATAGTTGAGTAGAACATTGTTCAGTTTTTTAGGTTTGATTTTCTCATTGTGTCCTGGATTTCCTGGATGTTTTGGGTTAGGAGCTTTTTGCATTTTGCATTTTCTTTGACAGTTGTGTCAATGTTTTCCATGGTATCTTCTGTACCTGAGATTCTCTATTCTATCTATTTTATTCTGTTGGTGATGCTTGCATCTATGACTCCTGACCTCTTTCCTAGGTTTTCTATCTCCAGGGTAGTCTCCCTTTGAGATTTCTTTATTGCTTCTACTTCCATTTTTAGATCCTGGATGGTTTTGTTTAATTTCTTCACCTGCTTGGTTATATTTTCTTGCAATTCTTTAAGGGATTTTTGTATTTCCTCTTTAAGGGCTTCTACCTGTTTACCTGTGTTCTCCTGTATTTCTTTAAGGGAGTTATTTATGTCCTTCTTAAAGTCCTCTATCATCATCATGAGAAGTGATTTTTAATCTGAATCCTGCTTTTCCAGTGTGATGTGTTGTCCAGGCCTTTGGTATCGTGGGAGTACTGGGTTCTGATGATGCCTGATAACTTTGGTTTCTTTTGCTTATGGTCTCTTGCTTGCCTGTAGCCATCTGGTTAACTCTGTTGCTACTTGGAGTCACTGTCTCTAACTGGAGACTGTCTTTCCAGTTGTCTTGCTTGTGTCAGAACTCCTCAGAGTCCAGATGTCTCTGTGATTCTGTGATTCTCAGTTCCTGGGTGGAAGAACTGCTGGGACTCAGGCTGCCTCTGAGATCCTTAAATCAATCATGCTGCTCTGAAGTGTAGTGGTTCTTTTGCTCCTCTGGGTTCAGTGTTTCCTCTAGGATGGCTCAGGATCTTGTGTCTTCATGGGAGCAGACCAGCTAAGTGTCTGCTACTCTAAGTGCAGTGGCTCCTCTAGGATGGCTCAGGATCTTGTGTCTTCATGGGAGCAGACCAGCTAGGTGTCTGCCCCAGCCAAAAGAACCAAGTGAGGGAAGGAAGGGGAGTGGTATTCTTGAGGGGCAGGTTTTGGATGGCTGATGTGTCCTGAGTGCCCCTGGCTCCCAGTTGTAGCTCTGGGGTGTAGGATTGTGCAGGAGGGATCTTACCCACTGCCCTGAGTGTAGTGCTTCCCCTAAGATGGTTTAGGATTTGGTGTCTTCACAGGAGCAGACCAGCAAGGTTTCTGCCCCAGCCAAAATGAGGTATTCTTTTTCTAAGTGGGAAATAGAGAAAGACAAAAAGGACTGAGGAAATGGTTCAGTGGTTAAGAGCATTGCTGTTCTTCTACCCATGTGGAGGTTCACAACTGTCTGAAACTTCAGTTCTAGGGGATCTGATACCCTGTTCTGGTTTCTGTGAGTATTGCATGTGCATAGAGCATGTTCATATAAACAGGCAAAACATCAATATACATAAAATCATTACATAATTTAAAAATTAAGGATTATTTAAAAGGACTAAAATATTTCTTTTTTCACCTGCTTCATATATACCCAAATTTATTTTTCATGAGGAAAAAATAAACTACAGAGGAATTACACAGTTGCATGTCTTCCAATTCCACCTTTAAAAAGGACTAAAATATTTTTAGATAGCAGGAGTATAGTTGGGACTCCCATGATCAAATGACTTGTCTACTGTTGGTAAAGCTGGTTGAGGAATAACAATTCTATTCTTGTCATTACTGAGACCAGCTATCAGGAAACCACTGAGGAACACCACTTGGTGTTGTCCAACTGAGATCAAATAAGTTGAGAAAAATTCCTAAGTTACAAGAATAAAATGGAAAAAAATTAAGAAAAGCATAATTAGTCTGGATCTGTGCAGTGGTATTTGATGCCCTGGGTAACTGAGCAACATTAGCTTTAATATTTGCACAGGGCCTGGAATAAAGTCTAAGCACAAGGAAATAGAGGAATGAGGAGAGAGAGCAGAGGTACAATGGGCCATCATCCTCCATGTATACATAGGTAGAAGAGTTGAGTTCTATGGTACAGAGAATAATCTCCAATGGCTATATTTTCAGTTTTGAATGAGTGAGTTTATTAAGTATGTATAGCAAACAAAAAAAGAGAATAAATATCAAGCAGCAGGCAGATGGAAGGATGGACATAGATAGATAAACAGATAGACAGACAACAAATCAGGTCCTCAAAGCATGAAGCAGAAACTGACTGAGCAAGCTCTCATGAGTCTGTCAGCTGGTGTTCCCAGCAGAGAGAGTCCTAGGCAGAGCATAGTGTAACCCTGGGTGAGGCTTCGAGGTCAAGGAACAAATCACAACAGAAAGGTAATGTTACAAAGGTAGGACTCACAGACATCTAGCAAAAACTACTGATGAATTTTGGATAGCCAGCCTGCTTATCCATCAAGAGTGCCAGGCCAATTATACTAGGTCTCCAAGTAAAAGTACAAGTAGGAAAGAAATAACATCAGCAGATCCTGTGCTCACAATTTTCCAGAAACTGACTGGTGAAGTTTAAGCATCAGATGGAGTTTCACATTGAGTTTTCTCTCGATGGCTACGAGCTGATCTTCTTGCATCTCTTTCCTAATGGGCTAACAAAGTAACACCTGTAGGAAATAGTTCACCTTCCAGATGTTCTCAGTAACACAAAGAGTTTACTTGGGCTATTTTTACTCTGTTCTTTTCCCTCCTTGTCACAGAGTTTGTAGAGTAGTCTCTTCCCAGATAAGGGATCTTGGAGACCACTTAGAAAAGCATTCTTCGAGTTGAAGTGTCTGTGGAGTAACCCCACTTCCAGAGCCAGCTACTTAGTGAATTCAAATAACAGAAGGAAATTTACCAATGTAATGTACATTGTGGGTGGTAAAGGAGACCAGGGGCAGCTTCTGGGTAGACTTAAGTCATCTCTCAAAGGTTTTAAAGATTAATTCCCTCTTCTTACCCTGTCCAGGGCACTGATAGCTCATACAAGTCAGCATAAGATGACTCCAGTGCCAGAAACACCAGTATACCTAACAGAAATACATATGAACTCTATCTAAAGAGTCATCTCAGCTCAGATCCCCAGATTGCCACTGTGACCATGATCATACATTACAACATACATAAGAAAAGAGACGTTCATAAGGGTGTCTGCTAAAGAACATTTAGAGTTGACCCCCAAGACCTTCTGACAAACCTGTTATATGCAAAAATAACAAAACATTAATGCTGTGCAAAAAGAACTAATTCTATCAAAAATGACATGAAGAAATAAGATATGATTTTAAGTTGAATCATCAAGTAAAAAATGGTGATTCACAATTGCACACACACATATATATATTATATATGTATATAATATTAAATATGTATATATAATATATACATATTTAGAGACTTACATATAAAACACTGAAAATTAAAGACCAGAACTAGCCTAACACCCAGACTATGTGCATCTGAATAGAGAAATGTATGAACTTGAAAAGAGAATGAATGAGGGCTGAGGAAAGGCAAGCATCATGTGATGTGGCTAGTACTCACATACATGAAAAAGAAAGAAGACATTCATAAGATGTCAGGAAATACTGAAGTGAAAGACATCCTGAGGTACAAAGTTCAAGAATTCAAGTGAAAAAAAATTAAACCAACATTTTAGAAAATTCTTTCCATTGGACCACAGCAGTATGTTGACTTGGAGAAACCATAGGCTAGATGTCTATCAAGATGACAAGGTCTACCAGTAGGGCTCTTATTCAAATGCACCTGGCATTTGTTTATTCTGTGTGAAAACAGATTCAAATGTGATTGTTATGGAAGAAGGTTTTTGCTCACAGTAAGTAGGATCTATGGTGCTATTTCACATCGAGACACCAGGTGGAGCTACTGCTTTCAAAAACCAAAACTGAGGTTTCTGGTAGACTCATTGGCTTCTTAGTTTGGTAACAGGTCAGAGTTTCTAGAGGAAAAGTTAGCCCCTGATAACAAAGGGAACGTCAAGAATTGAGGTAACTGTTAATGAGTTAGGTCTGGGCTGGACATAGCATAATTGGCAATAATTTTCTAGACTGAGTCTTGCTGCCAGGGCAGGAGAACTGAGCATCCCCAAGAGGACTCAGCCAGAGCAAGAACTCAGAACTTCTCACGCATTTTTGTGTCCCTTTAACCCACGTCTCTTCTTCTCCAAAGTTCCTTTATGTGGCTCGAAATGCTAAAGACTGCATGGTTTCCTACTACCACTTCTATAGGATGAGCCAGGTGCTCCCAGATCCAGGCACCTGGAATGAGTATTTTGAAACCTTCATCAATGGAAAAGGTAAATAAAAATGCTGTATTCCCTTGTGTTTTTACTCCACTGAGGCTGAGTTGAGAGAGCTCCCCATGACAGTTGATTACCTAGAGTTTTTGGTGCTTATTTAAAAATCCCTTATTTGGGGATTCCTCGTCTATAGACTTCCCTTAGCCTGTGTGTTCCTGTCATAATGGGGATGCAAGTGATTGTGCAGAATCAACATGATGCCACTTTAATTATTGTATTAAGGGAAAACACCAAGACTGACACAATATACATGACCTCAGAATCAATAGGTTCGGTACCCTTGAGATGTATCTGTACAGAATTTTTCCTTCTTTGATGTACTTTAAGCTTAAAAAACAAAGGAAACCAAAACCAAAATTAAAACAACAGCAACAACAACTGAAAAAAGCAGACCAACTCTTTTGACTCTCATAAGTTTATAGACATGCAAGCTGTTCTTGTCTGTTACAGTAAGTTGGGGATCCTGGTTTGACCATGTGAAAGGATGGTGGGAAATTCGAGACAGATACCAGATTCTCTTCCTCTTCTATGAAGATATGAAGAGGGTAAGTAAAGTACTGCTTCAGAATCAGGGACAGGGAAGCTCCCTTAGGAATGTGGTTCTGGGGCTGGAGAGATGGCTCAGTGGTTAAGAGCACTGACTGCACTTCCAGAGGTCCTGAGTTCAAATCCCAGCAACCACATGGTGGCTCACAACCATCTGTAATGAGATATGATGCCCTCTTCTGGTGTGTCTGAAGACAGCTACAGTGTATTCATATATAATAAACAAACAAATAAATAAATAAATATTAAACAAACAAACAAACAAAGGAATGTGGTTCTGACTATGATGTCTGAAAATGTGATAGTGTGAAAACTCTCTTCTAGTCCAACTCAATACTACCTTCACTCACAGGACCCAAAGCGTGAAATTCAGAAAGTAATGAAGTTCATGGGAAAGAATTTGAATGAAGAGGTTGTGGATAAAATCGTCCTGGAGACATCATTTGAGAAAATGAAAGAGAATCCTATGACAAATCGTTCTACGGTCTCCAAATCTATTCTGGACCAGTCCATTTCCCCTTTCATGAGAAAAGGTTTGTGGGGCTTCTTTATCCCTAATTCTGAGACAGTCCCCCTCCAGTCCACATATTATGATTCTAAGAAGGGTATAGATTTGTTCTTAGTGTACAAGGGACTCTACAAAGCAAGTCTTACAGATAATTAAGACCAGAGCTATCCTTGGTGCACACACACCTCAATGGGAACCTACCTGAGGTTAGACTGATCAGAGCTGAGATCTTGAAACCAGGAAGGTACCACTGTGCTGTAAGCTCTACCTATTGTTAGTATAGCTAGTATACACATGCACACTTTCTGACTTCCACTCCTGTGCCTTTCTTCTATTCCATAGCTGCTGCTTCTGTTTCAGCTTCTGTGCATAAATTAATTTGACAATGAAGAATGACTCATGTCCGTTTCAGGACTTTAAATATATATTACTGTGACCCAGCCTCTTAATGTTTCCTAGATTTTGAAAGAATTCTGATTGACCCAGATGGTCCAGTTTTAAGTGGAAAATGTTATGTTTTTAAATTAATACGTTAAATAATTCTTAATCAATACTATTTCACATAGATCCTCTCAACCTCTTTGCAATAAACTAGGTGCAGATTGAAGGCCTTCTCTCTGCCTCAGCATATATATTTCTTTTCCACAGCAGTGCAACCAGCACTGGCATTTACACACTGCTCTAGAACATCTTTTCTTTTCAGCATATGAGTTAATTCATTTCATTGCCCTTATAGTATACCAAGCATCCTAGACCCCGAAACAAATCAAACACTTTTACCTCTTTCTTAATCTCTGGTGAGGATCTGACAAGTAGCCTTTTTTTCCAGCCCATCCATGTCCAGTATCCTTTGCATACACTTGTATTGGCTTCTTTACTTGCTCACTTTGGCTCATAGAAACACAAATATAGATACCATCACAAAAATCTGTGTACTATAACACAAATTGTGGTTACATTATACACTTTTACTTACTAGAATATGAGCCATCTCTCCAGGGCAAGAAACACAGATCTCTACACATCACTGTTTGTACATGCATTTTAGACATACTGTTACTCATCAAGTGATTTCTCTAATTATAGAAACTATAAATACTATGTTTATATTATATGATCAATGCTATAATGAACATTTTTGTTCATCAAATTGCATAATTTCCACAAGAATCATAGATATTACAAAGAGTATCTCCCGATCTTAAATTATTTTAATCAGTGCTTGTTGAAAAATAGTATCTCATTCTAACAATGCAATCTACATAAAAATCAATTCAAGGAAATTAACTCTACAGTTCAATAAATTTTTATAAAAAAGAAAACTATGCAATCAGTACCTGAATCAAAGAAGCAAAGAATTCTATCACCTTGGGCAATATCCTGTAATATCCTTTTAAAGCAATCTCTTCCTGCAGAAAAAAATGTTTTTATCTCTCACTGTAGGTTTATTTTGCTTTCTCTTAGATCAAATATACATGGAACATCACACTATGTATTTTCTTATGTCCAGGATCTTTGGCCAATATAACGTTTTTAAAATCTCCTGGTATGATTATATATC